CCACTGATCCCTCACGGCCAGGGGTGAAAGCGAGACGGAAAAGAGGAAATGCTGGTAGTAAAACCATTTCAGTTATAGCTAGTTTTGGGGAGGAGTTTACTTATTCTTTTTTTTAAATTTTTTAACAATATCTACTTTATCTTGGACTTTACTTACTTTATTTAAAAACAGCTGGAAAATTCTCAAGGACCGTGGGAACCCTGTATGCGATAAATTTTACCGATAATTTAAATTCTCATAATGTACTCATTACTTCAACCAGCTGATGTTTTCTCTGGCAGATGTGTCATTTAATTGATTGATAGAATCAACTGAAATAGGTTAATATAATTTAATTAAAATTACTGTTAAACGTAATTAATATTTTGTAGTGGTAGATCAAGAAATTTCGTTTCCTTTTTCTAATACTTTAATGTAAGCGTTTGATCGAATTACCTGTCTTGCGTCTCTAGCCCATTCATCTGAGATTAAATTGCCAAATTCAACGGACGAATGTGGTCGAATGACTAACATACAGTAAAATGTGTGATATATGCAAAAAAAATATTGGAATAATTGATAAGATACAAGTGCGATTACAAGAAGTCTGTGAGCAAGTCCTGTTGTTGGTGGNAGTTTAGGCTTAGGTAGTTTTTGAAGTAGCAGTATTATAGTAACATTAGAAAGTAGTCACATTTGTTAAGAATTTTACCTAAAGAGGAAAACTACAATTGTATTAGGTATCAGCAGGTCTGTAATATTAAAGCAACAGTTATTATTGCAAGCATTCATGATGACAACATTCTTGATAGAACAGGACTGTGCCATTTGAAAACTAAATGGGCAGGGAATGTTTGACATGATTTTTCATCTAGTGAGAGAATTGACATTTTTATGAGTCTTATTGAATAAATTATTCAAAACTTTTTTTTTTTTACTAAGTATTATCTTTCAGTTAACGAAGTTTACATTAAAGTGCAATTTGTTGTTGTTGCTCTTTTAAATATTTCTAGAGATATAATAAATCCGCTAAAAGTCATAAGAACAACTTCTGACTGCACTCCCGCCTAAACTATGGGAATCATGCTGCTTTGAAGATTGCGACTGCTTCCTGTTATTTTAGATTTAAGAATCCAAAGCCAGTGAAAAAAAGTTTATTCATTGAATGTTTGTGAAACTGATTTCAGTACTTAAAATATCACCTGCACAAATTACTCAGCCTAGTTAGAACTTCGAGCTACCAGTATAATAAATAAATTTATATTAGGCTTTGCACGAGTCTTGTTCTGAATTTATACAAATGAATTTTAATCGACGAATATCTCATACTTAACGCAAAGTTGTAATACAATTTTCTTTGATACACTGGTAGCTGAAAAATAATTAATTATGATAATATTTATAAAATTTTTATAAGGTGATTGTCCATTATAAAACATGCTGTGCAGTGTTAATAAAAATAGCATAGTAAATCACAAACAATGTCATAATTACTGACGAAATTGTGGTAGGTTATTGTTAAGAATCATGTCATCAGTTATAATTTTTTTTGTCTATCTTGCCCTATTCTCCAAAGTTTTATGATTGATCTTTTCCGAAATATAAAGTGTGGTAAGATAAGTTACAATACTTAATTTCATTTTGGATTTAATAATTATGATTTGCAATAATTTTGAACACCATTACAGCAATTAAAAAAAATATGTAGGATCTGATAATCATGGAATTAAGCTATAAGTGTCGGGGAAAAAATTAAGCATTCCTTTACTGTTATTTAACTACCACTTTAAATATTGTGTAAAGCAGATCTCCAAATGTAATAACCAGAGTTTAAAACCAATCGCATTATTCAAGGCAGTAGTTGAATAAAACAAGCAAAGATTACTGAAACTTTGCTATTAGTTAAAGTTAATACTAATTTATACAATTCTTGTTTGACATTTTATTTATATCTTTCTATTTTTTATATGTTGTTGGACAAAATCTTTTATGTCACTTGTTAAAATATTCTTTTTATATAAAATGTTAAAATGTTCTTTTTGAAACAAATGTAAATATTCTGCCACTACTTTAATTAGTAAATGGGAAAATTCTCCGGTTGAAAGCCGAGGATGTTGGCAAGCCTTAATAAATATTTCATTTCATTTTATAACCGCAGTTGAACAGCCAACCCAATTTTTGGGGCTTACGACTACTAATATACTACTCCATAGCTTAGTAGTTTTGAACCCAATACAGAAGACAAAGGAACTCCCGGATCAAACATTGGGAGAAATTTGATGAAATGTGATGAATGAATTTCGATGAAACTAACCCGCATTTGCGTTACCCGGAGAAGAAAACTACGAAAACCTCCGAATGTTAGCATGACGGAAAGGGGACTTTAACTCATGATACGACTACCACTTGGATATTTTACGTCAGCACTGTGGCAGATGCAAGCCGGATGCGAAATTCGCATCGACCAGTCATGGCCGGGTTTCAAACCCGGTTCACCTAGTTGGAAGACAAAAGCTCTATCCCTTGAGCCATTACGGAGCATGATTTTATTTTATTTTATTTTATAACTGCTGTTGAACAGTAGTCCCTATTCTTGGGCTTACGCTTACTATCGTTCAACTCCGTTGCCTTGTAATTTTGATCCCAATCCAGAAGATAAGGGAACTCTAGGATCAAGCATTGGCAGAAATTTGTTTTTATGGAGGATTTTTTGATTGAACTATCCCGCATTTGCGTTACATGGAGAGGAAAAGCACAAAAACCTCTCATGTTTTGTCTGATAACAAGGGGACCCTAACCATCACCTCCTACAACAGAAAGCCTCCACACGGTTTCTTATAAGTAGTCTGCGCAGATTATTTAAAACGTGAACCAGTTGTGCGCATGAACCCAAATTCATACCTGCCAACTTTTAATCTCTTCCATTATCATTTTTCCCAGTGGTATTAAAATGGAATTAAAACTTCAATTTTAAGCAAACAAATACGTTGTATTTGAGAAAACTTAAGTTGACAACCATGATAGTAACGCATATTAGTATATGTGCTTAATTTTTGTAAGAATAGTGGTGAACAAAATCATTTAAAAATTAAGTTTATAAAAGAAAAAATAGTATATAATTACTACCACTTCAAATATGAAAATAAAATCTTCCGGAAAATCCGGAAGAGTTGGCAGGTATGCAAATTCTACTTTAAAAGTTCTTGGGAGAAATTTATCATATATATTTGAGAATTGAATCTGTAGTGGTTGACAAGTAAATAAAACAAACCAATTATATTTAGAAATTAAACAAATTTTTAGACTTATATTTGCTACCACTTTCTAATTTTTAATAGATTTCATATTAAATGGTTCTTTCACTGATAGTTTTACCTTTATGGTGGTCTGATCGGACTACCTACAAAAAACCGTGTGGAGGCTTTCAGTTATAGGAGGTGTTGCCCTAACCCGTGATTCGTCTACCACTGAGGATATTTTACGGTGACACTGCGGTCGGTGCGAGCCGGGTGCAGTCATACATTGCTGAGATTCGAACCCGGTTCACCATATCGGAAGACGAACTCTTTATTCCCCTAGTCACCACGGCTCTAGTAGCGTGTATTGTAAATTTAAATAAAAGCTGATAGGAAATTTTATTTTTAAGATATCACTTTGATATTTAAAGGTCTCAATAATAATGTTTATGCATATATTGTTTTTGTTTGAAAAGCAGAGCATATTGGTGTTACCACTTTTCAAAATTTTTATGGCTCGGAGAAATGTTGCATGCAAAGTTCGAAATTTAAGCTGGAGTGAAAACCACAAGATTAAATATTATACTATAAGAGTCAGATTAGGACGATACCATTTTATTGAATCGAAAAAAGTTTTGCACTTTAAAACAAACCCTTAAATTGCTTTAAAGTGCAACACCAACTTCCAGAGTGTTTTTGGCAGCTAATATGGAGCAAAACATTTTTTTTCAATGTATTATTTTCTCAGTTTTTTTTTTTTTTAATGTGAAGTTATACACCAAAGGGAGGAAAAAATTACTGCTGAATAATGTTTTATCAAATGATCAGACTGGCACGTGAAATAATGTTGTCTTAATAGTTCTTAATAGGTAAATCTTAAATATGCTAATTAGTTTAAAAAGACGATATTTTAAGGTAAAATTGGGAGATTTTTCAAATTTACGTTAGCTTCAGCACTCACACTCACGTAAGAATTTGCGCATGCGTCCGTTCTGGTAAAATACTCATGGGCCTTGAAAAAATATCAAACTCACGTAAAAGAAAATAAAGATCTCAGGAGCCCAGATAAATTTTTATGATAATGATGATCATCATCATCCTTAGAATTTGTTTTGTATAGTTAAAATGCTTCTGCCCAACTTTGTATATTATTATAAGAAATTATTTTATATATTCGATACTATAAGATAACTTTGTTGAAGTCAGTTATTTTTCAGTTTTCTTGACACTTCAAAATATTACAGGAAATAGGTTAAAATCAGAGACTCCTATGTCACTTGACTCTCCGTAGTTTCGGAAAATATTTTTTTTTCTAGTGGTAGCAACGATAATATTAATAGTTTAATTAATTAGAATTAAATCACAAGTAATTGAAATAAATACATATTAGGTCTTATAGACAAATGTTTAAACTCTAATACTTTTTTTTCAAAAAATTCTGCTTTAGTTTATTACAATAAATAAAAAATCACAACATCCTCAAATATTGGACTCTGTGGTTAAAATATTGCACAGTCGGTGTATGAAAATAGACTTATTAAATTTGTTTAGAAAACAAAATTATTTTTTATGAGGGTAATGATGAAATTTTTGGATTTATCAAAAAAATTTTTAAATTATTCAAAACATGCTCGATAAAAGAAATAACAGTAGTTATTGCTCCAACTTAGATTAGATCCGGGAAATAAAAGAAAATGACGTCGTTATTGTTATGATTTGAGTGTTACAATCGAGCATCAACCACTGATTACTTTTAACCTTGAATACTTTAGTCATTTTTCTCTTCGTAAAGGATCATTTCTGTTTTGTTGTGAATAGATTACATTTCCAGTTGACTGATTGCTGTTGCTATAAGACGAACGTAAACTAGTTGCTCTCCAAATAAAGAGTTTCTTTCAATGAAATATCGTTCTTATTTATTAAAAAATGTTCGAATTTAACATATATACGTGGTTAATTATAATATTCACTTTGGTTATAGTTGGTATTACCGGTTTTTTACGGTGAGTGAATTTTTTTTATAAGAAACTTATTTTAATCAATTAATTCGTATTTTAACTTTGCATTCGAATCATGTCTGGTATGCCGACTTTGACTTTTTCCGAGAAATTATTTCCGAAGCGGTAGTAAAAGACTAGCTGAAATGCAATTATTGATAAAATTAACTTTTAACTGTTCGTATAATTTACAGCATACCTACCAACTTTTAATCCCTTCCATTATCATTTTTCCCAGTGGTATTAAAATGGAATTAAAACTTCAATTTTAAGCAAACAAATACGTTGCATTGGAAAAAAACTTAAGTTTACAACCATGATATTACCGCATATTAATATATGTGCCTAATTTTTGAGAGAATAGTGGTGATCAAAATCATTTAAAAATTAAGTTTATAAAAGAAAAAAAATAGTATATATTTACTACCACTTTAAATATGAAAATAAAATCTTGCGGAAAATCCGAAAGAATTGGCAGGTATGATTTACAGTCATTTTGGTTACTATAGCTTGCACTTACGTATAAGTTAGATTTAATTGCATTTATTGATTATCAAAATTAAATCAAATTAAACTTAAAAATTCTGAATAAACAAAAGTGAAGAGCGTGAGACAATCAGAAAATAAAATAACAGTTGCCATTCAAATCAAATTTCTTCAAGAAAAATCATTAATAAATAATTGCCAGATGCATTTCAATACATTTATAATTATTATTCATATTATTTTATGACTTCTTACTGAAAGGAAAACAAAAAATCAGGACATAACATCTTTGTTTACATTAAAGCTCATTACACTAATTCCATGAAAGAATAAATTTTAGTAAATATTAAAATTTTTTTATTATTTTATTTAATAATATTTATATGACAAAATACAAAATTTGAAATAAATCATGAGAATAGTTCCCGGGAAGTTGAATTTTAAGAAAGTAGTATTTTTAAAATTTGATTTTTCAGAAATCGTAGGTAGTAAAGTAATTTAATTAAAAAAAAGTATTTTTAATATTTAAAGCATTTTTATATCCCTACTTTTAAGAAAAAAAATTCGCCATGAATGTTTAAGTTGTAACTATATTGATTATTTAACATGTCATTTTTGATTTGAGAAATTTAATTAACCCTTTAATGGGCCCTTTATTTCTAGTGAAGGTAAATTAAAGTATTTTTGGAATTGAAATTGTTTTAAGAACAGTAATTGAGATAAAAATAAAACTTATTTAGTTTATAAAAATGCCATTTTTTGGTGGTAAATATATTTAACATGACCTATTAGGAACTTACTGACTTTTAGTTTTCTTTATTTATAAAATAAATTCCTTAAATGCTACAAACTTCAAAAGGAATTATGTATTTTATAACTTTTATACGTTTTCTAAAAGTGACAAATGGTTACCAATTTTATTCAAACTCACTTCAAGAGAGCTGAAGTTATTGAAAAATGGAAACCTAAATTAAAAGTGGTAAAACATGGTGGTAAGTATACTTACCACGGCCTTCAAAAGGGTTAAGAACAGTATTAATAATTTTGACTAATACGTTGCATAACTGTTTAAAAGACATGTGCAAATAACTTGTAAATCATGTAATTGAACTTTTAAGTGCTTGCAAAAAACTGCTGCCTCAATTAATTTACAACCAGGAAAAATGAAAATAGTAATGGAGTAACATTGACACAAACAAAAACAAATAAGCATGACTAATTCCTGCGAACCAGAATATATTAGTAAATTTAAAAATTATATCTAGATATCAAAACATGCCAGCTCTATTTCCAAAATTAAAACCTTTAAAATTTCCAACACCATTTCTTTTTATAACGTGAATATAAAACTTCGTGTACCAGTTTTTCAAAATTTTTGCCGCTGCGGTTACCGAGTAACTGCATTTCTGCCTACTTTTATACCACAGGGGAAAAACCATCCTCTAAAAGATTGAAAGTTGGCAGGTATGTAATTGTAATTTAATTAACGAGTTGTTATCACAGAGAAAAAAATCATCCTCCAAAAAATTATAGTTGGTGAGTAGTTGTAATTCTTACCAAACTTAAACTTCGTTATGAATATTACGCTTACGCCTCTCCCAACTAATTTTATTTTAAATTTGGATGGAGTAGTTAACTCTCTGGGTTAGAAACTCTGTTCGCACTGTATTAGTTAGGCAGTAGTTGTAATTCAATTTACATGTTATTTCCACTGAGAAAATCATCCTCCGAAAGATAGAAATTTGGCAGATATATAATTATAATTAAATTTACATGATATTACTCCTGAGAAAAATCATTCTAATAAAGATCGATGGTTGCTAGGTGTGTAATTCTAAATCCACGACCACTTTAAACGCTGTGTGAAACCTTAACTTTCAGATTGGTAACTATCCATTTGAAGAAGCAAAACATTTGAAGTCACTGTTAAAAAACACTTCCACTCTAAGCTCACAGCTATGACTTTCAAACTAGCAAGTCTGAAATCGATCTTTCTTGAGTTACATTTCAATAATCATTAAACTATAATTTATCAAGACCAATTTGTGTCAAAATTTTAAAGAATCTCCTCAATTTTAAATTCTCCTCAATTGTTTCAAAATTTAAAAAAAAACTCCCTACTTTTCCAGAACTAAACGTGTTAAATCTTGTTTTTAGGTACATCGGAAGAAATGATGATTACTGGAAGATAAGGGGAGTAAAATATCATCCTCGTCAAAGTTTATTTAAGATCCTTAAAGTACTTTCTACATCGGTAATATTTGTTTTCATATTTTTCCCACAATAGTTAGTATAGATATGGATAAAATTTTATTTTAAAAAAGGGACTGTTAAAATAAACTAAGCATGCGCACTAGGGTATAAGTTGTAATAGTTATCAAACCTTGCACAAAAGCTTTGTTTATATTATTTATAGTAATAGTCAGATATTTTAGAGCTGTTTCATTCTCAACATTCTTTAACACGTTCACGCCAGAGTGACCCACTGGTGGGTCAAGCTAGATTGTCTCATCTTGGCAGCGCACCGGAGTAAAAACTGGTAACAATAAATTTCATCTTTTTCCGGGAATAATAAAAATCCATAACTAGCATTTGTTTTTAACGGATGCAATTTTTATATTGAATTGCTAATTCGCCATGATAAATTTCCTTACAGTGAATTGTTATTGTTGAGAATCGATTAACTCCTCCCGAATATTATCTAATATTGAAATAGTTCTTCTGCCAGTATTTTCACTTTTCCCCGCATGAACGTGTTAAGAATGCTGAACCAAAAAAAACATATTTCTTAAAAATCATTTAAAGTTATGCTACTTGATTCCAACGCTCCATTTGGAAGTATGTTTGTTATCTTAAATTTCAGCTGACAGATACTATAACCTCTTTACATCTTTAAAAACTTCTCCGATTTCAGCAGGAGAAAATATTATAAAAAATATTATTGTGAAAATTATTTTTTTGAATATTGTAAATTGAAAAAATTACAGTATTGCATTAAAAATTAGATAATTATTCAATAGTTTTAGAAAAAAGTGGCAACGAGAAGAAGCTTAAAGTTTCAACCGCTTTCCTGACCTAACTATTGAGCACATATTGCAGTTTTCTCCAATATTTTAAGGATTAAAAATCAAAATCCGTAAGAAAAAAGGTGTGTTTATTAAGAGATAGACATTTTTGTGTCTAATTTCGTTACGCAAAATATCATGCACCCAAATTAATTGGCATATTTATGTTATTCCTTCGAACTATGCATTAACATTGCATCTTAATAAGTAAAAATGAAATCATGAAATTAAAACTTATTAAAATTTTTCTCTTGTTTCTTTTGCGCACTGTACATCAAAATGTCTATTTTAAGTACCTACTTTTAGCTGCCTCGAGATTTTTGCTAAAATTCTTTAATTATTTGTACGTTTGTTTTCACAGACTTTTCCTGAACTAGTAAAAACAGGTTACCATGAATATGGACGAGTTTACGGGTGAGTTAACCTTTTTCTGCGCCCTTATATTCTTATAATGTCACGTTAAAATATGTTTAAGATAAAGATTGATTTATAAAAAAAAATTCATTTACCTTATTACCCCAAAACTGATTTGTTTCATGAAAACTGTTTTTTTGGGGGGAAGTGAAAAAGATTTTTAAATTTTCGCCTACTGTGAAGAATTGGTCATAAACTTAAATGATTAAATGAAGAACGCTTAACGCACAAGAAAAGAATAACTTTTCAGTGTTGATCCGGACTATTACCAATATTTGTCAAAAAAAAAAACAATTCGTGTGTTTTCTTCGTCTTTATTTTCTGAAATTATCAAGAGATGTCCCAACAAATCAGAGGTCGGAATCGGCTTTTAAAAGTAAATGAAGTTGGCATTAAATCCACTTTCTACAGCCACATAAAGGGTTAAGGAAGATTTTACACATTGCATTCAAATATCACCTGCTTTTTTCCACACCGAAATGTTTTTCAACTGTTGAAATATTTGTAAAGCTCTCTCCTTCGACTCTCCACTCTCAAATGGTGAAAGCATGCGAAGTCTTGCTATAGGTAGAGAGTTCTACTTTACGCCACCTGTAGCCAATTTCGGTCGACAATAAAGAATGTCATACTTCCAAATTACATCGTTTTGCTTCATAAGGAATTACAATGCAATACAGGGGGACACAAAAAACAAGAATTTTTTTAATGCGTATGAGTAGGTGGCAGCACTGTGGGCTAATGATCTTGCGCAAGTAAACACTATGCCAGTTTAGTTACCATGGATCTGAAGAACGCGCAACAGCGTGTTCGCCTTAAAATGTTTTATAGAATCAGTGATAGATTACAAGCATTGCAGAGGGAGTTTTTGCGATTTAAGACGTCATGGTACCATCCCATGAAAACATGCTATAAAAAGTTGGAATAATAACTTTGAAGAGATGAGGCTTGTCCAAAAGAAGAAAATAACAGGACGACTAAGAAGTGCTCGCTGAGATATTGCAGTGGTCAATGAGAAATCTGGCGTTTTATGTAAACGTTCAACTATTCATATACTGGTAGTCGAAATAACCTTAAACATAAGTTAATGGAACGAAGATTACCTTCAAGTTGAATTATGAGTTGTGCTAGTATTCCTGCTGAAAAGAATGTGTATTTTCATATTTGCACCTGTTTTTAGTCCAAAACGCGTGTTTTGTTTAGTTTTATTGCAGCCTATGAGCGAAGTGTCTATAATTACCAAGACTTATAAAAAAATGTTTTTAACGTCGGGAAGCTATCGTGTAAATGCATTATAATTACTAATAAGTCTTGGTAGTCAGGGTTCTTTATTTCTCCCGAAAACAGGCAACAAATGGAATGGTTTCACTACCAGTTCTTTCTCTTTCCCGGGAGGGAAACAGCACTGGAAATACAAACATAAACAGTAAGGCATTACCATTTCGCATTGTCACGTTATCCCTACAAGCTGAATTTATAGTGATATTATCGTCGATCAAAATTTGGATTACTTTCTGATACGCTAAAAGACTTAATTTAAATCTGAATCTTTATGTTTGATGATGTTTTAAGTTCCAATCATTTCCTGACAGCTACAAAAGCAAAGTTCATTTTCATATTATATCTAAATAAAAATTAACGTCATACGGAATTTCGCCAAAGGCCTCCGATTACATTACATGTTTCAGATGTTCTATGACGGCCAAAAAATTATCAACATATTTAAAATGAAGTTTGCCGTCATTTAAAATTCCGGCAACTTCTGGACTGTCTATAGGACTCAAATTGCAACTAAACCTGTTTTCTTAATTACAATCTGGGCTGAAACTAAGACAGAAAAGAAGAAACATTTGTAGCAACATCCTTTCCCTTACACGTTTTCGTGAAGACTTAAATGAACTTTCACTATTCCCAATTATAAAGTATTTTAATTATGCTAAAATTAAAATGAAGGCAAAAGCAATTCTATCGCATTAACATATACATATTGATGCGGCAACGTTATGTTTTTTTCTCTGATTTATAAATGCCCCTACAACTAACCTGTTTTATTAGCCAGATAAACTTGCCTGCTTGATCCACTAAGTTCTATTTTGTGATGATAACGATAGTTGCAAGGAAAGTTTATATCATTTTCTGATAGTTGCAGGAGGGATTTATGGTTTCAGAAAATTTCAACCACTTTCTGATAAACTGAAGTGCTTAAATTTTAAGTGGAGCTCTGTACTCGACTCTAATCAAAATGATTCAATTAATTTTGCTTTTGTTAAATCAAAGACAAAATAGAAGTAGAACGTGTCACTTTTGAAAAAAGTAAAATGTTAATCTATCGATGGTGATAACAGTTTACGAAGGAGATGAGACCTATAACACTTGATTATAGTCCGATAAAAACAGAATCTCTTTAGACCGTTTAAAAAACATAGTTTTTTATTACATTTTATAGTTTCATTTTATTTTATTATCACTTTTCAGGAGTTTTTCGTTTTCGCAGCCGGCCATTACGATTTCAGATCCAAAACTTTTGAGAGATATATTTGTGAAGGATTTCAATTATTTCAGCCACAGGCAGGTGAGTGATGCATTTTATTCTTCAGGTAAAAACAAAAAAAAGCTGTGAAACACAATACTAGTCATTTTAATAACCTCCAAAATTATAAATATGAGAGGGGGCAGTATAATGATAAGCCACATATATTGTTTCAAATTTTTTGAAACAGCAGTTTAGATGCCAATTTTTACGATTCAGCTCTGTTGTTGATTATCTCTGTTGTGACTCTGATAGAAACTGGAAATAACAAAAAGGTTTAAAAACTAGAATATTTGATACACTTTTGTGTCAAAGTTGTCAAATAATAGAGGTCACCAAATAATTACTCTATGCTTCCGGTGCCAGGGATTCAATCAGGTTCAAAGATCCCGTTTTCATGTTCTAAAGAGCATAAAAATGCGGTTGAGACCAATGGCATACCTGCCAATTTTTACGCATTTGGCGTAAAATTTTATTTTTATATTTAAAGTGGTAGTAAATATATATTTTCTTTACTTTCATAAACTTAATTTTTTAATGATTTTGATCACCACTATTCATAAAAAAAATTAAGCATATATAATGATATGTGTTACTACCATGGTCGTCAGCTTAAGCTTTTTCAAATACAACCTACTTTTTTTGCTTAAAATTGAAATTTTAAATCCATTTCAATACCACTGGGAAAAGTCATAATGGAAGGAATTAAAAGTTGGCAGGTATGCAATGGACATACTGCGAAAAACCTAAAGAAGATCAAACAACATGTGCAAACTGCGGAGGAGCACATTCATCTACATACCCTCAACAGATGCGTTAAATTTAATACAAAGGCATGATAAATCCAGAGTGAGAACTCAAAGAGTTCACAAACCACCGAATGTAAGTCTCTGAAGTCGAATGAAAGACGATTCTTTGTAAGTCGAATGTAAGGAGATTCCAAATAATTTCTTTATCGTTGTGATCATAATTACAGAGGAAATGGTAGTGGTATTGCAATTCTTGCCAAAATTAATCTTTATACGGAATACAACAGTAACAATAAAGAAGATTAGAAAAAAATCTCTATACTTCTTTAATATGACAATCATAAATTTAAAATTACCGCTGCTTACAATTCGCCAGGACATAGCCTCACTGAAAATAATATAATAAATACATTACCCTCTCTGAACTTAAAACGACTATTGCTTTTGTTTTTTATACACTTTCAAAGTTTCATTAAAATAATACAAAATAAATCAGGCTAAAACTTTTTGCATTAAACTAAAGTAACAATCATTAAGTTTCCTTTCAATAAATGCTTTGGAATAATACCGCCTTTTATTTGCTAAGCGATCTTAAGCATCCTCTCTCAGATCAAAAAACCTCCACACGGTATTTTATAAGTAGTCAGTTCAGACTATTTAAAAAGTGAGGCTTTGTGTGCGTAAACCCCATTTTTTTAAAAAAGCTATTGAGAAAAATTTATCATTTGTATTTAAGAATTAATATGTGGAGGTTTGCAAAGTAAATAAGACAAATCAATAATATTTATAGAATAAATTAATTATATATATTTTACACCACTTTCTTATTTTTATTAGATTTGGTATTTAAATGGCTCTTTCGTAAAGTAGTTTACCTTCATACATGTCTGATCAGACGAACTATATGAAACCGTGTGGAGCTTATGTATCTTTTCAAATCAGAGCTGAAAGCTTATATATAGCGAGACGGAAAAGAGCAAAAATTGTAACGAAAGGCATTTCTTTGTAGCATTTTTTTCAAGAAACATTAAATTTCTGTAACTACCGTAATTTTTTTACAATTTTAGCATAGATAAAAAATAGCTTCTTTCTTTATAGAAAAGTACATATAGCTGAATAATTGAAAAAGAGAATAGTTTAACTCCTCCCGAAAACATGTTAAAACTGAAATAGGTTTACTACCAGCTTTTCCTCTTTTCCGTCTCGCTTTCACCCATGTTTCAAATCCGTTACACTTGGCACGCACGGCTTCTGCCTGCATTTTCTGAGATACCTTTGGAATTACATTTTTGAATTTGCTCATATTGGTGCTCAATGGTAAACCGCTTGATTAAATTATATGTATAAAATAATCAAGCAGTTCAGAATCGGCTTACTTAGGAGGCTATTCATTATTCTACAGTAAGTCAGCTGAAACTTCGCTTACACACTCCTGATCTTATGTACGGGGTGAGAAGGAGCACTATCTTGCTGGAAGCAGAAATATTCCACCCTATACATACTCTGGACACTTGGAAGTAAAACTTTTTTTCAAAACCTCAGTTTTATAATATCGGGTATTGGCCGGGATAGCCTGACATCGTAGGGCACTCGGCCCATGTCTAAGAGGTCGTGGATGCTATCCCCGCCGGTCAAAGACTCTCCGTGTAGTAAATGGTGCTTGATGCACGTTAAATCTGTCGAGTCGCAAAGTCCTCCATGTTCCCATAACAGATTAATACCTCTTGGGGTATCATACTGCCAATGTGGTATCCAGGTTCCTTGTATCCAGTTTCCTTGTCTTCTGGATCGGTTCAAAATTATAAGGCTACGGAGTTGAAGATTAGCAGTCGTAAACCCAAAATTGGGTCGGCTGTTGACGGACATAATATAAAATAAAATATCGGGAATTGATTTTTTTCTCCATTCTTAATGAGAACTAACGGGAGTATACCTCCTTATAGCTTCCCAAATTATAGCAGATGGAACATTTTGATTACACGGAACGCAATGCTGGTTTTCAAGGGTGTTATCAATGACCGTATTCTGTCATTTTGGGGGTTGAGATTTTGCTGTAAAACAAATAATTTCTACTCTGAAGAGACTAACTCATCCCCAGTGTGTCATGCTAAAGATTGCCTTCCTTTTCAGTTTTGCAGACTCTGAAAATCCGCTAATTCAATTCTTTCTATGAGTTTCCCACCCGAGGTCATTTTTCAAAATATTTAAAATTGATTCCTTTGACATTTTAAGTTCTCGAGTAAGGTTTAGAACGCATCTCTATATGCTTCCTCATATTTCCCCCCCGACTCTTTTCACAATTTATTTCGTTCGAACCGACCACGGTCAGCTAGTTGTCCTGTTAATGCCATATCATGATAACTTCTGCTAGTTCTGTAAATAAAATCATCATCCCCAGATCTTTCAAGTCCCTGAAAATTTTGCCCGACTGCTCTCCTTCGATGAATTTATTTATCACTCTTTCTCTAAATTTCTACATTCTACCGAGAAAAAGGAAATTGTAAGTAATACAGGATATATGCTTGCAATAGCTTATATATTCCTTACACTAAAGTGTCGGAAATGAATTGGAACTACATTAACACTTTGTAATTATTTGATATGCTTTTAAAGTTGTATGAGAACTTTTTGTTCACTGTGTGTATAAAACAAAACGTTTCATAGAAATGTATGTATTCAGACAAAAAATTAAACTAAACTAACAAGCATCATTTTGAAAAGAATCTGCAGCTTTGCAAATCAGATTTGAAATCCCCGAGTTAAGTAAGATCAAGTACTTGCATAAATGCAGCACAAAATTTGTTTTCGTGTGTAATTTATTAAATACAAATGCTTCAAATTTGCCTTTTTTTTTCTTCTTCAATTGTAGGATCAGGCATTTAGCGATAAAATTCTGGACACCATGATCTCCGTTTTAAATGGAGAAGATTGGAAAAGAATTAGAACCATCATATCTCCTGCATTTACTTCAAAACAAATGAGAAAGGTATGCAAAACTTTTGAAAAAAAAAATAATCAAAGAATTTCTGACAATTTTATCAAATATTTCTAATAAGGAAATAGATTTGAGTGTTTTTTTATATTTTCAGCCAAAAAAAATTCTTCCAAAGGTACCAATCTACATTTATTCCCGTTTTTAGCTTCCAAAATTTTATGCTTCTCGATAAAAATATTTTGCTACTTATCCTTTTCGGTAGACTGTAAAATTATATTTTCACAGAATTGATATAAACCATTGAATTCGACTCTAAACTATTTGAGGATGATGGATTGATGATATAGGACAACGTAAACGGTAGAAGTGAAGCTCGCAGAATTCGCTAATTTATCAAAGGTTAGGCTTAGCTTTTATGTTTGACATTAATGAACGTGATTGTACTCATATGCAGAGATGCCAACTGTTCCGGAAGCATAATTACTTTTAATCCGGAACCATAATAATTTAAAAAACTGAAAATAACTAGAAACTAACATTTGCAAATAATTGATTCACTTCGCTTTCTTTTTAAACGGTGTAGCATAATTTAAATTGAACTAAGTGGCAAATTATATAAGCCTCAGAATTATTTAGAAGTAATGGTGGATAGAAACCTAACAAATGGAATTTATTAAACCAAGAATCACACATTAATAAACTACCACTCGAAAATATTTATTTGCTGTCCGGAGGTTACACATATTACCGTAACAAAATTTTTTTTCTCTTTCTGCAAGTATGAATGAGTAAATATCTATTGTTATCTATGAAAGTTTCTCTTGAATTTAATTCCATGAGTTGTGCGAGGGTTCTTCAGATTAAAATAGTCTTGAATTATCATCCTGTGATTTATGTACGAGTCATTTTCATGATATAGAAGACAATCATAACTAGCCGAGCGAAGAAAAATATATTGTTTTGTAACTACTTTAAAGTTATTTTTTAAAATTTAATTTTAATTCGAACGTAAATATGTTCTTGATGTTATTATTAGCACTGAAACGATGTTATTATTAGCACTATTAAATATTGACACTATACTATTAAGTAAAAGCAATGGAAAAAATTTCTTGTTCATTGATTCAAGCGAAATTTTAACATGCACTTTTTTAATGTTTTAGTGTAGTGGTCAATAGAAAATTTTATGAAAAGAAACTCACAGTAATCAGTTATAATCTGCATACAATATGCATCAGAAATAAATTATATTTTTTTATAGATGGAGAATATCATCAATGGCTGTTCCAAAACTGTTCTGAAGACATTTGAAAAACATTACAAAAATGGAGAACCGGTTGATTGCAAGGCGTATGTATCATTTCAATCATGGAGTTTTGCTTTCCTCAATTTTGTGTAGTTTATCTAAAGTAAGGACTCTCTTATCCACCCTTGGCGGTGACTATGATAGTGAGGTAAATCTATTTCAAGTAGTAATGTGGGGTCACTGTTTAGGACAGGTTTTGGTTCTTTTCTTCTAGGGCTAACACAATCGACCGAAGAAAAGGAATCTTTTTCTTCAGTATATAATGTTAGTCCTAGAGTGAAGCGAAGCTACCCTCCCTGAAATACGCTATTCGTGTCTCCATAGCAGCAGATGGCCTCGGAACTTGTGGTAGGGGGTGTTCTTATCGTAGACAAACTATATATTGATTTATATAAAAAGCACTATAATATTTTTTTTAAGATTTTACTAAAGAATTCTCAATTTGCAATATTTTAATACTTTGTATGCCTCCCAAATATAAAAAGGTCACGGGCTGTAATATTAGAAATTTTGGATCAATAGTAGCGAAACATTCAGGGTTATATATTAACATTAGAGGAATTCACCACAGTAAAGTATATCTAATTAATCAGTTCGCATGAGGACATATAAAGTAAATGTAAAGTCCTGCTTAAATCGATGAATCAGAACAGAACAACGCTCAGAAGAGTGATTTTTAGCGACAAATGATGGGAGAAATGAAGGTATTTGACTTGAAATGGTTATAGCTTACGGCGAATATTGTCTAGGTTTAATGGCTGTTGACAAATGTTGTAAAAGTATTCGTCAAAGATGTTATATGGATCAGCTAAAATACATGGCAAGTTAAACGTCAGATCTCGCATGAATGTTTTGCTGTTGCTACTAAAATGATAAGGTGTAGTGGATAGTCATGTTTCTGACATTTCTTTTCTGACATGAGTAAAGTTATGATGTATCCATTTTGTGTCTCTAAGTATGTTACTTCTTCGCATTGGTCTGTTCTAAACGCATATTTCCAATTTTTACTTTAAAACGTGTCATGTGAACTGCTAATCACTTACAAGAACTTTTCGATGCACTTTGTTATCAAACAAATTAATGGCGCTATAAACCTTAGAATATTTTTGATGCTGAACTGCGTGTTCATTTTTCATTTGAATAACCCTCATGAATCTGTCTTAAATGTCATTAAATATCTAAGAATTTTCTAAAAGCAAACCTGTATGGAGACAATTTTCTTTAAAAATGGTTTTAAACATTATGTTAAATAACAGAAGCGATCAGAATTTAAAATTATGAATCCAAAAGTAAACGAATTATTCGTGGTGCTGTATTTAATAAAATAATTGCGCTAAATACAAGTGAATTCAGTCGTATACTTAATCCTGTTTTTGTGCGTGTTTGAATCATGACTTGATGCGCTAAAGAAGTCCTTATGAAAAATGACGTCAAATATTTGCAGGATATTTGGAGCATTTGTGACAGATGCCATAGCACTTTCAGCTTTCGCAACAAAAGTAGACTCTCTTAACAATCCTGACCATATTTTCGTCAAAATGATTAAAGAATGCAATCAGGCATTCGATATAAAGCGGGTTATTTTCTTGAGTAAGTATACTGCAAAATATCTTAGCTTTCTCTTGTTTTTAAAATATATGAGTATCCAACTCTTACAAGATTATTCATCAAATATTATTTATGATTAAAGAATTATTTATCAAACATTTTCATTTGGCACACCTATCGTTTGATCAAAAAATAGAATTATAAGAGACTGAACAAATTTTTATTAATGTAAGTTATAGATATTGAGAATATGAATTTATTTATTGATACTTTTGTGAGGATATTCGTAAAAACCATAAAAATATTCTAGGAATGGAGGAAATATGTTCCAGGAAAATATTATATATGCTATCCCAACAGCTTCTTCTCTTCTCATTAGAAAAATAGGATACATTTTTTACACACGTACAAAATTCTAATGTGAAAATATTCTATGAAATAGGTGATCTTATCAGCTTTCTCTCATACCTTGGATATATTTATCAAACATTTTCATTAGGCACACCTATCGATTGATCAAATAATAGAATTATAAGAGAGTGAACAAATTTTAATTAATATATGTTATAGATATTGAGAATATATAGTTATTTATTGATACTTTTATGAGGATATTCGTAAAAACCATAAAAATATTCTAGGAATGGAGGAAATATGTTCCAGGAATATAATATATATGCTATCCCAACAGCTTCTTCTCTTCTCATTAGAAAGATGGGATACATTTTTTACACACGTACAAAATTCTATTGAGAAAATATTGTAAAAAATGTGTTCTCTCGTTGGCTTCTTATCTTCTCATTGGAACGCTTGGATACACTTTTAACACACTTACGAAATTCTAATGATTATCGTTTGTAAACTAAATAATATAAAATTGTAGGTCTTACGGGTGTGTCACATTCACTTCTATTTTCGTAATTTACATCTAATAATGAATTTTCAGTTTAATGAAATGGTAATTTCTCATCCATACATCTTACAGTTTATATAATTAGTTCAGGATACGTTCATTGTTATAGCGGGATTCGAACCCACTACTCTACTACAGAGCGGTTTGTGGAACGGCAAGACTGGAAACAGAAAGACCATTTGGTAATTAGTCTAAGTTATAAATTTGTCCGCAATTTTAATTTTAAATAAAATGGTAGCAAATTAGCGCTCAAGCAAATTTATTAACGAAAATAAGTTGAAACCTTTGCTTACGGTATACCATATTGTACCATCACAAGTGGTCCTCGTGTTGTACCATCCGTAAGAAAAAGGTTAAAATACATGGTGTGATATCAGATCGATATATTGCCATTCATTTTATTGACTTATACAGGGGTGAACACGATGATCCTTATTTCATTAAAATAAATTTCTCTTTTATTTTGGAGGATGGGTGGAAGAATGCTCAACGAACGGTATGGAGGGTGGTTTACTGGCTAAAGAGTAAAATAATAATAAAAAATAGCAGAATATGGAAAATACAGAAATTCTCAGAGCAAGGTAAAGAAAATACCTAATATTTCAAAATATGTCTGGCATTTCTTTTGTAGGTCTCATTCCTCGGCGACTGCAGGCATATTTCAGGTTAGGAGCACTGAAACCAATGGATTTCTTTAAGAAAGTTGTTGTTGAAACCATCAAAGAAAGGAGAGAAAAAGGAGTGGTAACAAGCTTTTAAAAACTGTAGTTCGTTAATACTTTTGTTTTTGTGTCAAAAACTTCATCGATCAAGAATCAACTTGAGTTTAAACTTTACTAGATAAATAGCTGTAGTGGCAAATAACATTTGCAAAGAGCTAAAATGACGGTAAAAAGAGAAAGAGAGGTAACCGAACTATTTTTATGAAGATTAACTAGACCATAGGGTTAATAATTATTTCCCTCATTTTATTTATCACTACCTAATTTGGAACAAAAATCATGCACGCATACTCAAAACTAAATGGGATTAATGGGTAAAAATTTAAGAGAAAGTTAAACCAATTGTGCCATGCGGAACATACCCATAATGCAGAGATGTCAACTGCTCCGGACACGCCAAAATAATGAAATAAACGGTAAATAACTACAAAGTAAATTCTGAAAATGTTTGACTATTTTTGCTTACGTTTTAAAGGGCATAACCTGACGTAAGTATTAGAAAATGGTGAATTATATAAGCATACGAATTATTTATAAATAGTGGGGGATAAAAATCTACTAAATTGAATTTATTAAATCAAAAATCATAATTGATAAACTACCATTTTAAAATATATATTTACTGTCCGGAGCAAGTTGGCTTCTCTGATAATGCCCTGATTAATTAGGAATAACACTGAAAATATCATTTACCTGCTATATACTCTATGTTCTTTTTATACAATCAGGAATGCCAGACTTTTATACTTTATGGCAAAACTTCTTCTAATGGTAGCATACTGTATGTGTGCTTGATGTTCCTTGAGACGAAAATTTAATTTAAATATTTTTTCCACACCACTACTTGTAAATGATTTAAAACTTCTCATGAAACATCACTTTGTAACATTTTCGTTCTGAGGTTTATATTCAAATGTTAGCAAAATGAACCAGAATTCTGAAAGCAATAGGTTTTCCTAAACTCTACTAAAGATTTTGAAATGGCGTATTTAGCAGCCATATATAATATAAATACGTGTGTGTCAGACATGCCAACTCACTCCGGACAGCAGATAAATATTTTCGAATGGTAGTCTTTCAATGTGCGATCGTTAATTTAGTAAATTCGATCTATAGGGCATTTAAATACTACTTATTTTAAATTATTAAAAGGCTTATGTAATACGCTACTTCATTGCTTATGAGCCTATGAATGCAAACTAGTAACAGTCACCGAAAGTTTACCGGTACAACTTCTGTCAGGTCAAGTGCATATAAGTCATGTTGAGCGCTTTAAAAAGTCGGCAAAATTGGCTAAAAATTTAAAAAGTTTAGATTGTAGATCTCATCCCTTTTTATTATATAGTCAGACCCCGCTATAGTGAACTCCCGGATATAGTGAACGAAATGTTCCGTGCAGTGCCTTGCTATACACGTATAATGTTATTTTTTGTGGATATAGTGAACCAAAAAAGTGAAGAAGTTGGATCTAATGAACTTTTTTCTGTCTTTGACTGATTTTTTTCTTCATTTTTTTGGAATAATTTTGAAATTTCTACTTCAAAATAAATAGATATGCCGACTTTTGAAACCATCTATAAAGGGGAATGAAGCGATAAGTATTTTTTCTTCTTTGATTCTTTTATCTCACTTCCCCATCCCTAAACATGCCAAGCAGATGTTTCCAACCCAGGTAGATGATGCACTTGTAAGGTGTCAGTGGGATCAATATGCATTTTCTATCAGAGGGAATGAGTAATTATTCATTATTCGTCAAAGGGTTGGACACTAATCTGTGTTGATAAGGCCCTCATTTCAACTCCTTTTTGCTTTCAGTTCAGTTAAAAAAAGCCTGCAAGCCAGCGCCTCAAATTCAACTATGGCGAGTAGTAAACGTAAAACTTTCTCCATTGATGATAAAATGGTCATAATCAGAAAAAATGAAAATGGATGTAATCAAGCTGATATTTTCAGGGAATATAAACTCTCCAAATCTACAGTTTATAACAGCTGGAATAATAGACAATTTCTGCTCATGAAAAAAAAATTAGATAGCAGAAAAAAGTTGAGAACAGCAGATCACAAGGATGTTGAAGAAACATTACTGAAGTGGTTCAGCATTCGAAGAAGCCGCTATCTTCCAGTATTTGGACAAATGTCGATGAATTTGCTAGGCGATTTTGTGAAACTACTTTTATGTGCTCGAATGATGGTAGGTTAGACAGTTTTGAAAAGCGGAATAACAGAAATTCAAGATCTGAGAGTCGGGAAGTGTTTCCATATCTGATATTCACGATTGCTCATCAGCTAAAGATTACAATTTTTTTTTTGTACGCAAGACGAAGAGTTATAAAAAATAACACATTTTTTTGCTACTTCATAATATTTTTCAATCATTTATTAGAATAATGTGTAATAAAAGGGAGGAGTTTGGGAACCATTAGTTAAATTGCCTGCGTAACGGATATAGTGAACTCCCGGTTATAGTGGACAGAAACTTCGACCCCTTGAAGGTTCACTATAGCGGGGTTTGACTGTATTTTGTTTTATCCGGAGCAGTTGGCATCCATGGTGT